GCCTTATGCTCCCCTGATAAATTATATACAAGAAATTTCCATTTCTCCCCCTAAAAAGATGGCTGACAGCCTCTGACTTTTGACTTCCGACTTCTGACTTGACTGAGTCTCTGACTGACTGAGTGACTGACTGAGTGATGAGTGTGGCTCGAATGGAACCTCTCCAACCCGCAAACTCAGGGGGCAAAGCGGCAGACCAATTAATTTTCCTGCCTCAAAATTAACAGCAAGCCGAAGATGAGATTTTTGATGGGCAAACATTGGCGTTGGATTGATCGATCCTTTTTCAGGATGGGCCCGACTTTTGGCTTTTTATGGCCACACATGTAAGCATCCCATTATCGATATCATTTATCTATCGATTAAAAGGTCAATGTGCAAATTTCCTTTGAGCTTAAAACTTATGGATAATCACAGACTAGTTGATTTTGTAGCTAAACATTATACAGGTGCGATTTCTTTATAATGAGTTAGCTTTTCGGTGTCATCTTTATGCGACTTATTATGATTGAACAATTTTGCCAAGCGATAACAGATCGCTTGTTACCAGAACGGATCCTTTGGCTTTTTTGAAGCTTTTTTAAAACCAAAGAACTCTTTAGCGGAGCGACTAATGGGTAGTAAATCTCATGACACTAATTATTGATATTGGCCTTGCTCCTCTTCCGTGCCTTGTGTCCATGTCTATGTCCATGTCCACATCTCCGATGGGGCTCTTGGGGGTAACCACTCGGATTACACTTTGCCGAAAATATGCTAGAAATGTTCTTTCCTTTCTCCGGTTGCTACTTGCTCGTTTCGGGCCCTGCCTCACTGCTTTCTACTGTTGCTGATGCTGTTGCTGGCGCTGGTGCTTTTCTCTCTGCATTTTCTTTGTCGCCGACGGTTATTGTTGCCAGTTTTCCCCAACAATGCGGCATCAGCAGCCCCCTAAAGGACAACATGAAACATGCTAGAGACCTTGTGGGGGTGGCATTGGGATGGGACATGAATACGGACAGGCGAGGCCAGCGTCGAGCAATGTCCCCCATCGCCATCGCCCCGCACCCTGCTGTCATTGTAGTGCAGGCTGCAGTCTTTTGCTTTTCCCTCTCTTGCTCGGAAGCAGAAGCAGCAGCAGCTTACCTGGACCGGGACAGGAAATGGCCAACAGCTTATTGCATAACCCACAAGCAATGCCAATGCGTCCAGGCCGGGATTAGAGCTCGCCTATCGCCCTCATTCAATCTGCCTCTTTGAGTGCAGGAAATATGTTAAGCAGACTTCATGGCGCGAATGCTTCGAGACTCAATCAGTTGATGGCAGGCACGTCCTGTCTCTGTGGCCTCTTTGGCCTCTTTGGCGGCTCTTGAAAGTTCTCCAATGGAATGGGAAACTTTTTGCCTTTCGCACCAAAAGATTTTCGCAACTGAAAATTCTTCAACTTTGCTGACTTCCAAAGTCATTCGAGTAAAATATTTCGACATATCTCTGTGCATGCCTTTGCTTGACACCCACACACACACCCGCACACACACACACACATAGAAAGAAAGGGGAAGGAGGAGGACACAGGACACAGGACATATGCACACGCACACGCATCTGGGGCGACAAGTTGCAACTTGATCCAATTCATTAAATGAAAATTATATTTTATGATTTAAATTGCATTTTCCTGGAGCCCTGTCTGCAAAGGCAAAGCAAAGGCAAAAGCATCCTGTGCATTGATATGGCATGTATCGCATCGCATCGCATCGCATTGCATCATGTGTGTGCATCGTCACTGGAGTCTGAAACGGGGCCAGGCCTTCTCCACCTGCTGCTCCTTCGCCTCCTTCGCCAAAGGCAATGAATCATTGCCTACCCAAGCCTGGTGAGGATTTCTCTTCAGTGCACTCGTGTGGATGCTGGCGGAAGGTATAGGAAATCTGCTCTTAATCAAGATAATCGCAGTATATGTGATAGAAGAAACCTTTTGCTGAAGCAAAAACATGCTATGGCCTCTACAGTTTGAAAGTTATGGCAAGCTCATCGGGATCGGATAACTTTCACACTTCAAATATGAGCCATCTCCTATTTTAGGATGAGGCCAACACCTCCTATCGTTTGTAACGTTCTTAATTGTTTTTAAGATACTGTACTGCTGAACTGCTATGCTGCTCTTCTTTCACCATCTGTATACCTCAATAATTAAACGGTAATTCTGTTTCTTGTTGGAGCCTCACAAAGTCAGCGCGTACGCTGCCGGAAAAAAGGAAAAAGGGAAATCTTTAGGAAGGCAAGGCAAAAGCACCCAAACAAAAAATAAAAGGTTGCCTAAAAAGAGTTTTTTGGTTTTTGGGTTGTGCCTGGGAAATGGCAGCCGAAAAACAATTTCAACTTGTTAAGCTTTTATTGTGTGTGTGTGTGTGTGTGTGTGTGTGTGTGTTTGCTAAGGGGATGAATGTGAATTGAGAGCTGAAGATGAAGCGCCGGGGGAAACCAAAAGAAAAATGAAAATGTAAACTTTCTCATAGCCAGCTCCTCCTGCTTTCTACCATTTCTGTCTACTATCTATGCTCCAGTGATCATTTTATTGCGAAGATAATCATTTGTCATATTTTTGCAGCACCTCCGCTCCCACTTTTGTACGCTTGATTTATGCTTTGTGCTCTTTCATTTTACGCACCGCGCTTTTTGTTTAATTGCTTTTGGCTAGCAAAACTATTTCCGGTTCCGGTTTTTGGCTTCCGTTGACATTTTCTGTGCTGCGTCATCCTTCCTCGCTCCATTTCTCTAATTGCTTCCGCTAGCAATTGCATTGGTCTCTCAGACCCAATCTAATCGCTTAACTTCTGCTTCAACATTGTTCCAATCTCCAAATTATATAAGCCTTGACAAATGTGTCTCTCTCTTTAGCTCTCTTTCCTTCTCTCTCTCTCTCTCTTCCCCTCTTCCCCTCCCTCCTCCCATCCCACCATCAGAATAGCTCTTGGAGTGGCAGTCCCCAAAAAGCATGCTACACGTTTTGACAGACTGACAGCTGAGGCCATCAGCAACGTGGACATGGAGGGGGCCTGTCTCTCTCTCTCTCTCGTAAAAATGGCCCCCAATTAGGTATGAAAGCGTGACAAGTATCCCAATCACGATCACGACTGAGGGGATATCAGAGCCTTGTCTGCATGGAGGGACTTCAAAGTTAACTACATTTCTTTTTTTAAGCAATTTCGGTAAGTATTGAAGTGATGAAAGTATTTTGGAAATCATTATTTAAGGGATTCTACCATTCTACTTAATTGGAAACTATTGTTGAGTTTTTCGCTAAACGTTGTCTCAGGGGATAGTCAGGATATCTCATTGACATCTCGTTCCATCGTTGATTTTAAAGCATTCGCAACTAAGACTCGCGACTGCTCGTGTCGCCACTCAAGCCTCACGCCCATCTCTGGACACACGGGCACGGCAATGGCTTGGGTCAGCGCAAAGTCAGTCGGGACTTGGCCTGCAATTAACGCAACAAGATTTGATCCCTGCCCCGAACGCCTCATGCCGCCTGCTTCATCTTGGCCACTTTCTCGGGCCGCTTTCTTGATTGTATTTGGTGTAATTTTTAATTAGCTGCTTTGCTTTCGTTCCAGACCCGAAGCGACCCTCCCCTCTTCTGCCATGGTCCACTTTTGGCCGGGCTAATTGCCTTTTTCGCCCACTCCGGATCAGGGGACCACGACATGTGGCCCGTAGTGGTTTGGATCAAGCGACGTGGGACCCTCGTCCATTCCCTAGCAGACATTTTTTAATTTAATAAAACTCTCCTCACAGTAATTAGCCTCAGTGCGAATTAAATGGAATGGCAGTCAATATTTCATATGCTGCGCCCCAGGCAAAATGGCTTTTTCTCTTTCTCACTCTCTCTCTCTCTCTTTGTGCGGCATGTCGATACATTTCCGTATTTACATTTCCGAACTTTTTTGGACAGTCTGCCATTCGTTTTGAGAAATTGCCACTGACATTCGAGCTTGATTAAATTTGAATAAATGAATATGCAAGCGAGAATGAGAGCTTGCTGGAAGCTCGGGCTCGCTACGGCCCTCGCTACCCAAGGGATTTATGAGAAGATGTGGGAAATACATATGTGAAAGGGAGCAGAATAATACATAAAAAAACAGTTAGTTACATGGCAGCTTAAAGTTGAAAAAAGCCGATAGTTGGAAGTTTGATAATAACACCGAATTTCACACCCAAAATAGGTTAGTATTTGGTCGAAGTAGTTTATAAAGCAGTTTATAAAGTTCTGCCTTGATCTCTTAACGTATCAATAAAATAGTTGCAGAAAACAACTGATAAACAGTTGACTTTAGAATCGAGAAAACTTGCAGCAAGATCACACACCATTCGTGACGCCACTACTATTACTGCTGCAACTCAGCTAAAGAAACTTCTTCACAACCGCGTTCCGATACTGTTTTCTCGCTCACACCGACGCTGCGGCAGTACGACGTTTCGCCAATACATATGTATGTTCTAGAAAACTGCAGGGCATTCAAATATCATCAATACACATACACAAATAATAATTATAAATGGATAAATATATTAAACAAGCAGAGGGATCCATAGATCTACCGATCGGGAATAGATATTACATGTACAGACGCATAGGATCAGATTTACTAGCCAGAAATAATTTGGGCGCCTTTTTCGAAGAGCAGCCACACACACACACACAGACACACACGCACCACCAACAAATACAAACATTCCCGGACAGCACCAGAGAGCGGCATTTCAGCCAAAACAAGCCCAGAAAGAGGCCTGACGGAGCCGCAACGGCGGAACGGGTAAACAAACGGACGAGCGGAGAATTCAATAAGAGAACAGCGGCGATTTCGGCACATCGCTTCTACATACTATCTGCCATTCTTTTGGCACTCCTTTGGTACAGGTCTTAGTTTCCCAAAACATAAGTGGCACACAGCAACTCACACAGGCCACACACGCACTTGAAAAAAATTGGCAATATTTTTGAATAAGGAGCTTACACGCAATTTTTGGCACGCACTCGATAAATCTCACTGCTCAGACGAGGACCAGACGCGGCAACAATGGCGAGCGAACTAACTGTAAAAACAGGCACCAGCGTGACCGAAAAGGCTGTAAATACCGTAAATACCCCACCGGAGGAGTACACAGAATCCGTAAAAATACGCGCAATCTTACTATCAGCAGACTTACCGTCGCTTAGATTACTTATAGACGTTGATTATGGTGCCGATTTGACCAATATTTTATTAATTATACTACACTTTAGTAGATATATTTTATTTATTTCGCCAAAATTCTTCTCCTCCGACGGCTAACCTCACTCTTCGATTTAAAATGGCCGTGCCGTTAACGCTGCAAAAGCACTAGCGCGGTATATTCCATAAAATACCGGGCGCTGGTATTTGGTATTATATCCACGGCACTGAGTCTGCTGGTTGGAATCAGCTGTTGTGTTAGATTTCTTTCAAAAATATTAATATCCACATATTCTCTGTATGAATAATATATTATTTTCATATAATATTTATCTCACAATAGCATCGATATTAAAAATAAGTAGCTTTCATTAGAAAGCTAGAAATTAATTCTAGAAATTATTATTTTTAAATAATAGCATGTTACCGCCGAAGCCCTTCCACTTATCGCACAAAAATATCGATATTTTTTTACAACTGTCCCTGTCCAGCAAAAATTGTAATTAAAATTCGCGGGCTTATTATATGAAACTATGACTACATGAAACAATAGAAAAAAAACTGGCGAATCGCGAGAGATAAGCCGCAAACGATATTTCGTTATATATATATTTATTCGAGGCATTCCCGCATACCCAGAAGAAAACTTGCGAGCTGACCCATAAACTGATGGATGAGTATAATGAATAAAACATCTTCGATGATCTGCCGAATTGATTTGACGAATTCAATAAAGTAGTTAGTATATTCGCCAGTCCACAGACAAATTATAAACAATGATATTATCACTAACCATACCGTATACCGAAAATATATATCGATATTTTGGCATATCAATATTTAATATCACTAAATGGAACATTTGTAAACAAATATGTATAAATACAAATTTTAATTATTATACATGATCCGCAAACATTGTTGTAGGCGTTTCGGGAGACTATTGTTGTTGGACGACCTGTCAGAGAACGAGGTGAACCACTTGGCCGACGAATCGGCTTCCAGCGCCCACAAACGGGAGAGCACCTGCATCTGCTTCGTGGGCAAGCGTGACTTCAAGTCCTTCATTCGCGGGGCAATTCCATACAATAGCTCCCCACTTCCTGTCCTCAAGCCCTCACTTTCTCTGCAGTACATCGCCTCTAGGAGCGGCCAGTTTGTGGATATTGACATCCACCAGTGGACCGTGGGCCAGCCCTGCCGCCTCGTCTCCTTCTTACAGACGTACATTGTGGCCAGAAAGATTCACTCAAAAATATTTTATGTGAACACGAGGACCCCCTGATTATAAAGTTTTGTTAATTATTTTGTAAGAATACAAGTTTTTATTACAAGACGCATTTGAGGGTGCAATAATAAGTAAAGCTTGTTGGTCTTGTACTCACTGTATGTTTAAGAGACTTATCATATCATCGACAGTTTTATGTTCTGGTTTCTCTTGAGAGATATATAACCCCTCTAATTGCTAAGGTTTGTTTAGCTTTTCTGTAAAAATACGATAATGATTCAGATGAAGAAACGTTTTGACCTGTGATTGTGATTTTCACAGTGGTATCTTTATAATATCGTAAGGATTGAAGAAATTGTACACCGTTCTCTCAGAGAGCCTATATTTTTGGGATGCAGCTGGGATCGGCTACTGAGACGCAAAAATCATAAATTCCAGAGCACATTTACGGGCAATTGCAGATAGCTCTTTGGTTACTTTTATATCCGCAAGAAATGCTTATATCTGCACCATTATCTTCCCAGGAAAATAAATCTTTAAACATATCTATTCCATTAGTTGCTGGAATTCGTATTATTGTTGTTGCTTCCAGCAAATTTTGAGATCTCCTTTCTGCTCCATTGCACAGAATTTACAGAATCTAGACATTATGTTGCAATCCAAAACACACGCAGATCTGTGTGTACTTGGAAGATGTCTTCTTTACTTATACATTACTGACCTCAGGGACATATCAATCCCAAATGCAAACCAACCGATCGATCCCACATGCCCCAAAAGACGGAGTCAGAGACAGGAAGCACAGCTACTTTCACGGTGAACAGACATTAAACAACTACAAATATATATTCTAGGTGCGATTGACACAAATAAAAAAAAAATAGCTAGCTTTCCCTAATATAGATGATGTCGATTATAAATTAGGCTATGGTTACTATTCGATCTATGGCTAACTTATGCGCTAAACTGATGATAGAGGAGCAGGTGCATGAGTTCTCTGTGGCGGATAGGAGTACCCTTGGACTAAGTGAGCAGCACGGTGAGGGCGTCAAGGAAGCGAGTGAGGTCGCTTTGCCGGAGCTGGACAACCGAAGGCTCGAAAAAGTCCTGCAGCAGGGTTGTCTTACTCTTCTGGGCTGCCTGTTCGAAGGCCTTGCCAAAGAAGTTCTTGGGCGAGTCTTCGCGAACGGGGGCAATGCCCACTAGTAGGCACATGCCCTGAGTGGCATCGAGCGGGCAGGTGGCGATCAGCGGTAGGTCCGGGGCAGCGCGTGCCCTGCTGGTGGCCACATGGCCACGAAGTATGAACTTCGCCAGCAAGCCCAGGGCGTACGGATAGGAAAAGAAGGCATGCTCCTCCTGCAGCACATAGTAGAAGAAGGAGCCGGCCGAGTGCACCTGGCGGGCCTCCAGGCTGCTCTGCACCTGCCTGAAGATGGCCGCGTGCAGCAGCTTGGCATTGTCGATGCCCGTCCCGAGGAGCTGCTTGTGCTGTCGGTTCAGGGCGTCGGAGGCCTCCATGAAGCAGTCCTCGGGCGTTTTGTGCTTCTTCACCGACTCCATGATGGCCAGCAGGGCGTAGACGTAGTCAGCGGCCGCGTAGCGGCTTCGGTAGCCATAGCTTAGAGTGAAGGTACCATAGACGATGTCGGGGATGTCGTATTTCTCGGCCAACCGCTCCACCATTGAGTAAAACTCCTTGCGCAGCACCAGGTCCATGGAGCTGTATGTCTGCCGCGCATGCACCAGCGGCAGACCCATCTCCAGGAGCAGCTCGTGAAGACGCTTCTCACCGCGGAGCGTCCACAGCTTCAGCTGGCAGGAAGCGTAGCGGGAGTACCTGCAAGAGGAGTACGAGGTACCTGCATTAGGATCAGGAGACTCAACCCTCCTCCCTGGACCTACCTCATGGAGTCGGTCACCGGCCAGTGCCGGTACAGCACCAGATGCAGGTCGTTCTCGAAGCTGATCTTGGAAGCGCTCATTGTGTTCTGGTCGTTGGTCTTGTTCGTGAGGCGGGAGACGTGCGACTGGATCTGTTCCAGCTCTAGGGTGTAGGCCCCACTCTCGATCTTGCCCAGCAGCAGCTGCTCGCTGATGCCCACAATGGCCCACCAGAGCAGGTCCATGTTGTCCTTGGACAGCTTCCAGGCCAGCTCGAAGATTAGCAAAGCCGTGGACCGACCATAGTAGCTGAACTGCGTGTACTCGAACATGATTCGGTCGCGCTCCGACTCCCACTGGCGGCGGGCGCGCTGTCGAAGGATGCGCTGCTCGTGCCGCTCCAGGCGGGTTAGCTTGGGCCGCCCTGCGGGGCGCTGCGCACTGTCATCATCTCCGTCCGAGTCGCCAGCACCGCTGTCGTTGTGTACCTCCTCCTCGTCCTCCTCGCCGGACTGGTCCTGGTCGTCATCCTCCTCGTCAGAGTCGTGAAAAATGGTTTCGAATGCGGGAATGTTCTCCTCCAGAGCGGCATCGCCCAGAATGCATACCTGTCGATCGCTATATATGTTGCAGACGTCAAGCGGCCGATGGGCATCGCAAATGAAAAAGGTGACATCTTCCGCCGGCTGCAGCAGCTCAACGATGTCCACGCAGCCGCCGCAGTTGACCAGAAGCACGTACTTGACGTCGCCTTGGTGCTCGCCATAGGCGCGCCGTAGACCCGTGATGCCCATGATGGGAACCACCGTGTAGAGCATGTGGTCATACTGGAAGAGAGCCTGCAGGATCTTGCTTGCGCAGATGGCGTCAATGTCGTAGTTGACGATGATGAGGATGCGCTTGCCCACTAAGTGCCTGTAGAAGTCATTCTTGAGATCTTGGATGAACATCTTTCCGCGTCCAGCAGCAAAAGCAACAAAAACTATCACGCAAATTGAATAGCAATCGTGGGCGATCCTTTTTTTCTGATTGCTGCGGCTGCTTTGGTTATGGGTATTGTTGTGGTTGCTGTGGCGGCTCCTAGTTAGCCGTAGTGTGCTGCATTTTGCGCGTATCTTTCGTTTTGTTTGCACTTTTTGCGGGTTTGCAAAATGTCGCAGTGTGACCCACGACTAGTTCAAAAACGCGGGAAACAGCTGGCCAGCTAGGTGTGACCAGCCGTGCATACCGTTGCAATGCCACAGAATAGCCATTCGCATGTCACCCTCGCCTTTCTGCATTTTTCTGCCCACGCTAGATTATTTTGGAATATCTTCTCCACAACATGGCCAAGAACAACAAAAAGAAGGTGTTTGCACTGCGCCTTGTCTGCTCTCGCATGAACTTCCTTTACCAGGCGGCCCACCTTATGGCGAAGGGCAGCCACAACACCCTCGGCGCCTACTATGGGAAGCTCTGCCGCAATGTGGGCACCAAGGCCATAATGCACATGTAAGTGGCACCACAAATCCTAGCTAAGCCGCTCTTTCATTTCAATCTGATCATTCAATCTTTCTGATTAGGGCTCCGGCGCTGAAGCGAACTCTGTGCAAGCGCTGCTCCCTGCCGCTCATTCCCGGAGTCAATACGAGCCTGACTGTGCCTCAGGAAAAGGACCAAACAGCACCAGCAACAGACCCAAAGGCGTGCAAGAAGCGTCATCGCCGACAACGCAGAAAGAAGGGAGAGGTGGGAAAAGCTAAAGTCCAGCCAAAGGCAAGCACCGTGGACGAGCACACGCCGCTCCAACTAGAGTGTCCTCTCTGCCAGGGCCGTCGCCGCTTTGTTGTGGACAGTCAGCGCGAGTGCTGGATAGAGCAGCCGCAGGCCCTGGTCGAAGTGCTCGACATAGAAGCGGATGAGGAGGGAAAACAGACGCAGGCACAGCCACAGCCACAATCACAAGCACAGTGATAAGACACAGCACACTTATCGCTGGCTTATCTCAGCCCCCTGGGCCTCGATAGCCATCCATCTGTACGATCGTTAGTCGGTCGCGCCATGCTGAGCTGTAGACACTTGATTGGTCGTTTTCTGGTGCGACGTCAGGCCAGCACGCAGGCTCGTCTTGCTAGTCCTAGCATTGTGGAGATCGACGAGGCTGACGGGCAGCGCCTGAAATACCCACAGGTCTGGTTGCGGGACAACTGCCAGTGCACGGAGTGTTTCCATGCGGCGACGCGGGCACGCAAGAGCAACTGGGAGCGCGGACCACTCCACGTGGGCGCCCAGCGGGTGAGCTACGATGAGCAGTGCCAGCAGCTTCAAGTCCACTGGCAAGACGAGCACAAGAGCGTTTACGAGCTGCAGTGGCTGCGGGAGCGGGACTTCGGGGACGCGGCCAGACAAAAGTACTTGGACGAGGTCTACCGACCGCCCGTGCAGCTCTGGGGCAAGACGCAGTTTGAGGAGGTACGCCGGGAGTTCCTTTACCAAAATGTGCTCGACCGGGACGACGTGCTGAAGGCGTGGCTGGAAGCCCTGGCTGTGCAGGGATTCGCTCTGCTCAAGGATGCGCCCGACGACGAAAATGTGGCCCGGCGCCTGGCAGAGAGGATTGGCTACATCAAACGCACCACCTACGGGTGAGTCCTGACCACCAGACATGCAAAATCTACTGATAATTTACTTTTCATACATCCCCTTCAATTCAGAGATGTCTTCGAGGTCAAGTCCAAGCCGAATGCGGGCAATTATGCCTACCTGATGGTGCCCCTGCCACTGCACACGGACATGCCCTACTACGAGTACAAGGCGGGCATCAACATCTTGCACACCCTCGTCCAGTCGGAGTCGGCGGGCGGGGCCAACACGCTCGTGGACGGCTTCCATGTGGCCGCCGAGATGCGGCGCCTCTATCCCCAGGAGTTCGAGGTCCTGCGCTCGGTGCCAGTCAACTGGTACGACATCGGACACGACGGGGACCAGGCCAGACCCTTCCACAGCCTGTGGCGGGCGCCTGTTGTCTGTTTGGATGTGGATGGCCAGGTGGTGCGCATCAATCAGAACACCACGAAGCGGGATAGCCGCTTTACGGTGCCCATTGAGCAGGCGGTGGCCTGGTACGAGGCCTACGACAGGTTCCTTCGTCTGGCCCACGACGAGATCGTTGAGTTCAAGACGCGACCCGGCGACGTGTTCGTGTTCAACAACCTGCGCATGCTCCATGGCCGCACCGCCTACGAGGACTCGCCCCAGAACAAGCGTCATCTGGTCGGCGCGTACGTAGACTGGGACATTATCTACTCCAAGCTAAGGACCCTGCGCTTCCCCCAGGCCCACAAATGATCCCCATCAACAGTACGGCCAGCGGTTGGGAAGAAGACTAAAATAGTTAAAATTTTTTATTAAACTAGAACACAAAAATTAGATCATCTGTTTTCTTGGCGCCTGCAAAGAAGCCAATTGTATCAGAGCTCTACCGTCCGGCAGGATTAAAAAACGAGCTAATCACTATTAGATCGGAATCTGCAAAAAATTACGTGAGGCTGGTCCACCTCCGTGTGGCCGTTGTTTACCAGGTCTGGGAACTCGTAGGGCAGGACGTTGCGACCGTAGAAATTGTTGTGGCTACAGCGTTCCAGGATCGTCTTGAGCTCTAGCATACCGAAAATGATGCCGACAGCAATATAAACTGAATACCAAGATACATCAGCGAATTCGAAGAAATTGCAGGATGGAGGAGGGGCCAGTGCCACTGGTACAGTCCTATCGACGCGAAATCACAATGAAGTCTCCTTAACACATTTAAATATCTTCGACGCAGTTGATTTTCACTGGAAGTACTCTGAAAAAATCATTTATTTAACTGGTAAACCCTTCCATTCGAACAAAAATATATATTGGGGCCCCTGTTTAAAAGAGCTAGCAGCAGGCTGGCACATGCTGCGTTCATCAACACACCGACACGAATTCTGCCAGTCTGCTGCAGACCCGTTTAGACAGGCCTGCAAATCTTGAATTTTTTAAATTAATAAATGTAATGCAACACACAAAACATTACACAAAGAAAATACATTTTTTTTCGCGTGTTTGCTTCCTTACTTGAATTTTTACTTCTGTTCAAGATCTAGTGGATGGCAGAGGCATTTGCAATGTTCTTTAAAATCAAATAAAAAATAAGAAATAAACTTAATTTCATAAAATAAATGCTCATAAAGATACAAAAACAAGTATTAAATAATGTGATATGCAATAGTCATTTACGTAACTAATATAATGCGAATATTTAGCGAATACATTATGCTCGGAAATTGGAAAAAAAAATTGCAGAAAACGAATAGTAATTAGAAAATTTTTGAATTTCTTTAATATAATTAATATTTTAATAAATCGACATAAAAATGTATATACTCTCAGAAACAGGTCAATGATATTATTCGTGGTAAGACTAGAATAGAATATATAGATTAATAGATTTGTATTATCAAAGTAATATTGTTTTTTGACCAATTAAATGGAAGGAACCACTCCTTCCAGCTATATTTTCCAATAAAAACGGTGGAACAGCAGAAGGAATTGAATGAACAAATGAAACTCAATAAAATAGTTTATGTAAGTATTTCCGAACCAGATTTCATACATATATATGTATAAGTCATTTTTCGTTTTCCTATCCCTCTGTTTTAATGGTTCTATTTACAGGTACGTAGCATTAATTTTATAGATGAAATAATTATAATATTTTTTTATTTTATATCGTTACAATTCGAATATGGTTTTATTATTCCAGATTGACTACCAGTTGTCAGTTGGGAACTAGCCACTGGCGTTCTACTGGTAACTAGGGTCGGAACAAGCTCCTGAGCAACTTCGTATTTCAGATCTGATTCGTCTGTTCGGCGTTCGAGGAATATGATTTCCGCTCATGGACATAGTGCAATTAACCCATTGCCGACCTGGTGGTATTAAAATACACTCCACGAAAATGCGGAAACTTAAAGAATTTTAGCGCAGTTCAGGTGAAAGATATCGTGGTTTGTTTTTTTTAGTAAAAGGAAGAATATGATAGATCTATAGGAAGAATTTACAAACAGTAACATTTTTCCTGTTAAACTGAAGTTGCACATATTTTTTAATAAAGAGGGATTTAAGTGTGTTAAGTTCGTTTTTTTCATCGGTATGTTTACGGTATATTATGAAAAAAGACGGTATATTTGTGAGAGTCAGACCACTAACCATACAGTACATATCTACATTTAGTGGAAACCTTATTTTAAACCTTATTTTGTTGACCATTCAATAAAGATGACTACTTAAACCGAACCAGTCATATGGAAAATTGATTCATCCCCTGTATAAATTTATGAGTCCTTAGCTAACTAGCTAACTAATATTCAAACGAATATCAAAAACGAGGAATATGATAGAATTTGAATACAAAAAATTCGTCAGTAAATTTACGGCATATTTTAAAAATGAGACGGTATATTTCGGTATATTTCTGAGGGTATATTTTATCGATAAGTCCAATTTAATCGACTTATCGACTGAATGCAGCGTTTAATATATACATACATATATATTATATACAATTTATCCACAAGCCACACGCGTCCATCGGCAAAAGAATGCAACGTGCTGCCCCAGATCACATAATTCCAAGTGTTTGACCCAATGTGTGTGTGAGTTTGCAACAGCCAGAGAAAGAGGATAGAGAGAGAGAGTGTGCCGGAGCCAGATACAGAGCTGGAGTTGCTGCTGAAGTTGGAGTGGAAGTGGCGCTGCAGCCAAATGATGCCCTACAATGTGCGCTCCGCCGGTGGCGGCAGCATCGGTGGCATTCTGCGCAAGACTGGAGCCGCTGCAGTTGCTCCCGGCGGAATGTCTGCGGGGGCCAGCAACGGCAATGGTGCGGCGACACTGGACGCACGCCAGCCGCCCCTGGAGCTGCTCGTCTTCGGCTACGCGTGCAAGATATTCCGGGATGACGAGAAGGCCCGCGAACTAGACCACGGCAAGCAGCTGATACCCTGGATGGGCGATGTAAATCTCAAGATAGACAGGTTAATAATTGGGGGTTGTCTAAGCGTTAATTGTACGAATATCAATACATACATCCCACAATCCCATACAATCCATCCACACACACACACACACACACATACACATGCACACGCGACCTATGCGTATCTATGGACTAGCTAACGACCCACTGCATACCCTACACTTTTGGCAGAGTATGGCTTTGAATGGACTCGAACTGTGGACTGTATCTGTACTGTACTGTAGCACCTACCCACATACACTCCCCCCGCCAACATCCACACAGAAACACACACACATACACACCATTGTAATAACAGCTCTTTTCAGTGCTTCTCAAACTGTATCTCTTACCATACAAAAAAAAAGAAAAACAAAACCATTATTGAATCTGTAATTCTTTGACCAATCTTAAATGTAAACCGATTAACTTTTTAGCCACCGGAGCGGTATGTATGAACGATCTCTAGCTATAAACCGATTTCTTAACCTCTCTACTATATTATATATATATATATATAAACATATTATTTATATAATCGTGAATCGATGGAAAACAAATAATTTGATCGATTCTGAAAGATCTTCAAAAGGGCGGTTCGATCGCGCTCGATTTGTTTCCCATAATTTTCGATTTTCTGCCGCGCCGCGTCCCTCTCGTCCTGGATCTCACTGATAATGTCTCTCTTTCTCTCTCTATCTTTCTCTCTCTCTCTCTTTGTCAATATCTTTCTGCTTGATCTCTTCTGGCACAAAACACACACCCATCCACACACACGCACTCATTTATATGTATATATATACGATATATATATATATAGATACGACGTGCGTGGCGCTCTTTGCGATCTGGCCCCTTACGAAGCGCCACCTGGGGGCTACGGCAACCGCCTGGAATACCTTAGCGCCGAGGAGCAGCGCGCCGAGCAGCTGTGCGAGGAGGAGCGCTATCTATTCCTTTACAACAACGAGGAGGAGCTCCGTCTGCAGCAAGGTAAGTCTGCCCTGCCTAGAGTCTCGAAGGCGTCTTGTCTTATAAAACAAAAAAAATTTCATGTAGTATCAAAAAACCATTCGAGAATACCCGAAAAAGGTAAATTCAGACAAAAGCCAATCAAGATACCGAAACCCCACAAAAATATCCAAATATAGAAACAAATATAGAACCTAAGCCAGAAAAACCAATCCAAACTCGAATAAGAATATGAAAAGAGAGAGCATCCGTCGTTGCTGTTGCTGCTCCGCTGCCCGTCGCCCGCGCAGGTAAATACAAATTCCTTACAGTCTGACAGAATATAGCTTTCTTTCAGGTACCAGATCGCCGCCGCCGTCGCCATTGTAGGGCTCCTCATAACCATTGTGGGAAAACAACCGTAATTTTCCCACATTCAAGCCACTGTGTCTGTTCCGCTCTAGACCATGCTCTCCCGTCGTCGCACCGCGTTCTCTCTCTCTCTATCTCGCTCTCTCACGCCTCACGCCTTGACTCAGTCAGCAGGCTAAAAACGCGCTCTTGACGCTAGTCCTAGTCCCTCCTCTCACCCGCTTTAACGTTTCTCTCTGCCTTGTGTGCTTCTCTCCCTCTTGTTTCCGCGCAGAGGAGGACCTCAAGCGGCTGCAGCAGGAGACCTCCGGCGGAAACTACAGCCAGGTGGGCTTCCAGTACGATGGCCAGGGCGTTGCGTATTCTGCTGCTGGAGCTGCCTCTTCCACGACTGTGCCGCTCTCGCTCTCACCGGGGACCTTTGAGGAGAACGAACTGCCCTTTGTCCTGCCGCGCACGCTGCTCCTGGCCCTGCCTCCGGGAATGCAGGTGGTGAGTGTCCCGAATAACTGCTCCTTCCTATACGATTACATATTATAAATATGTAATCTTCTGCCACCAGCCCGAGACGATGAAGCAACATGCCATCATCGAGAAGACGGCCCGCTTTATAGCCACTCAGGGCGCCCAAATGGAGATCTTGATCAAGGCCAAGCAGGCAAACAATTCACAGTTTGACTTCCTGACGCAGGGCGGCCACTTGCAGCCCTACTACCGCCACCTCCTGGCAGCCATCAAGCAGGCCAAGTTCGCCCCCACGCCGGAGAGTGCCGCCAACGCCGAAGCAGAGCCCAGCTTCAGCTCTGGTCCGGAGAGCCATAGCCAGCGCACAGGCACCGGTACGAGCACGTCCGGCCAGGTGGTCATCATGGTGCCCACCATTAAGTACAAGCCTTCGGCCAACTGCGCCTACACGCAGCTCATCAGCAAGATCAAAGGCGTGCCCCTACAGACGGTGCTCGATGACGAGCTGAGCACCACCAACTCGCAGCATTCCGGAGGCACGGCATCGCCCACGCCCAGCTGCAGGTCCGAGGGCCACAGCCAGCAGGGAGAGTTCACTCCCGTCCTGATCCGCTACAATGGCAGCACCTTCACCCACGAGGCGGAGGAGACTGACTCTCCGGTGCCTGAGGAGGAGAGCGCCAATGATGCACCGCCACAAGTGGAGCTGCTGAAGAACACGAGTGCTCTGGCCCTCGCCCAGAACTATAGTTCGGAGAGCGAGGATGAGCCGGGGGAAGAGGAGCCGACTTCGACGCCGTCGTCTGGGAAGGAGAAAGAAAAAGAGGCTGAAAAGGAGCCGCCAGCACCCGAGCCGGTGCTAACCTTTCCCGTGCCTGAGGAGAGCCTCAGGACAATCATCGATAAGACGGCCACGTACGTGATCAAAAACGGACGCCAGTTTGAGGAAACGCTGCGCACGAAGAGCGTGGAGCGGTTCGGCTTCCTGCTGCCGCAGAACGAGTTCTATCCGTACTACCTGTACAAGGTCACCAACGACGTGGATGCCGCCTCCAAGGAGGAGAAGACGCGCAAGGCGGCCGCCGTGGCCGCAGCGCTCATGAGCAAGAAGGGACTTAGTTTTGGAGGAGCTGCAGCTGCGGCAGGGAACGCAGCAGATAAGGGTAAGTCCATTGGAGAAGAAGGTTTCCAGATTTTATATAGCCCTGCTCCTTCTACAGCTCCCGTTTGCTTCTCCATACGCGGCCGCGACGATCATGGTCCGCTTCCGGCTGCTTTGGCCCAAGAGGCCAGCGACGAGGAGGAGATCAAGGCTGGCGGTGCGGCCGCGGCCAGTGCTGAGCAGGTCCGTGGCATGCCGGACAGTGTGCAGCGTGCCATTAAGCAGGTGGAAACGCAGTTGCTGGCTAGAAGCCAGAGGGCCGCTCCCATTTCTCCGCAGAAGGATCTGCGTCAGGGTGAGTATTCACCAAGACGAGATATCCAGAAAAAGAAGGAGATTAATCGTTCCGTTCTATCTGCAGCAGAGGAGCGGGTTAAGGACAAACTGGCGCTGATTGCCCGCGACAAGCTGAACGGCATGGTCTCCAAGGAGAAGCAGCTGCAGCTGGAGAGGAAACGCAAGGCGATGGCCTTCCTTAATCAGATCAAGGGTAAGTGATACGAGTGCATAAACTGAATCCCCTCCAGCCGCTAATATCATCGCTGTGTTTCAGGTGCTTCAGGCGGTTCTGTGGCCAGTTCTGCTGTTCCCAGCTCGAAGTCCAATATCCTCGAAGAGGCCTGTGGCGATGCTGCGGGGGACAGCGACAACGAGTCCAATGAGTCCGTGCGCTCCATACCCATCACTTACTTCGGACCTGACGACGACGAAGATGAGGAGGAGCAGAAGCCGGAGAACGACCACCAGGACGACGAAGAGGAGGAGGAAGACGGCGGTGATCTGGAGAAATACAATCTGCTGAACGACGACAGCACGAATACTTTCACCAGCAAACCGCCGCCGCCCCCGCCACCAGTGCAGACCGCAGCTCCCCCTCCGAAGCCGATTGTTTCCGTGGCTTCAGCGGCCGTTCTGCTATCGGACGATGACGATGTTCAACTGGTGCCCGCTGCCTCGCCAGCGCGCCCCGGCGCCTCCAAGGCCTCCCGCCATCGAAAGACCCACCGCAGGAGCAGGAGTCGCAGCAGCAGTTCTAGCAGTAGCGATTCCAGCCGCAGCTCCAGTCGGCGTAAGAAGCGCAGGGCCGTCGAGGAGGTGTCTGCCAGTGCCAGGAAACAGCGACGACGACGCAGTCAGAGTCGCACCTCTAACCGCAGCCAGTGCGTGCGTCAGAGCCAGACGCAAAGCCACCGCCAGAAACAGCGGAGCAGAAGCCGGCACAGGAGTCGCAGTCCCAGGCGGCGACGAAGCCCCAGCCAGAGCAGGAGCAGGTCAAGAAGCAGTCGCAGTCGTAGCTCCAGCAGCCGCAAAGAACGCAGGAATCGCCAGCACCGGGAAGAGTCGCGCCAGAACCAACGATGCTCGCCCAAGAAGAGCCACAAGCGACACAAGCGGCGACGGCGCAGCAGCTCCCCTTGACACCGATTCCCTTCAACTCGTTTTGTAGCTAACTTTTAATTCTATCAAAATATACATCGATTTTTTTGGAAAAATACAGAGACCCTCCTCTGTGGGTTGCTTTTCTCTTATTTTCGGGATTTGATATAGTATGTATTTACATAGCTCCCCTTTGTCTGTAAAATTTTGATCATTTTGATCGAAAATATAGTTATCTTGGCTATCATGTGTTCAAAATGATTCTTAGCGAGCTGAACTTTATATAACCTTTGAATAGGTTTTCAAGATATGGTACTAGAATTACTTTACGTATGCTTGTAAACCTTTTCCTTGAATAACAATGTGCGACAATTATTTTGTACTTTTCACGAGACGGAAATTCGGTTGTGAGTACCCTTAAAATTTCGGCATTTGTAGCGCCAATATCTGAATCAATTGATGGGTTGAAAAGAAAATTGTGTCAATACGATGGCTGTACCTGAAGATACATACAGTCAAGGAAAAAAGTCAAAATACAGCACCAATTTTGCGATACGAGTATTTCGGTGTTTCGCAATGAAAATTAATAAGCTTTGTATTCCATTTTTTAGAACACTTACAGCTATCATTATTTTATAAACAAATAGATGATTTCTACTAAAGTTACTAGGACAGAAGATAACATGTTCACGGAAAAAAGTCTACATACAGCGTGGGAATTCCCTTTAATATTTCAAGACATAGGAGGGAAAAAGGGGAAATCGCCGACTATTTTGACGCCTAGCTTCGTTGCCTATCAAGTGTGTGTATTGGGTCTTATTGTTACTCTTTTTTTGGAAAAAAAAAAAATGGAAAAAAGGTTTGGTTGAAACCATGCAGCCAACGAAAAAGTTCTTCACATTTTTCGTAATGTGTCTTCAGATTTATCGATTTTGTATGATATTATGTTTTTATACCCGATACTCAAAGAGTTTAGGGGTTTATTGGATAGAAGGTACAATTGAAATTGCAGTGGTTACGCAACGCCTTCCACGCGCCTACTGACTGAGTATCGCGTATAAATGTAGATTCGCTGCCGCAGCTGCGACTCACAACTTTCCCGCTCGTGTTGTAATGTACATACTATGTCCCCATTTGTTCAAAGAATGTCCAAGCACACAGATTTAGTAAATCAACGCCATTTTTTGTTTGTTAATAGTTTATAGTGAGAGCACAATAAGGTCGTAAGGTAGGCCCATAGGTCTAAGAGTTATCAGTAGCGGTGTCTCTTTCTGTTACCTGGTGAATCCCCCTCTCTGGGGGTGAATCCCTCACGTGCACAGATTGCTCTTCCCCTCTCTCTGACGCTCGCAGCTCTCAGTGGAGCCATAAAAGAACGTTTGCCTCTGAAGCGGCAGTTCAGTCCGCCGTGAAAGCTCTCGCCATGATGTCTGTCAGCTGGAACCAACTCTGCCTCAGCCTGCTGCTGATCGTTTGCAGCCTTCTAGCCCTTACTACTGCCCAGCCGCCCATCAGTAAGCTCCCCCTGTTTCTTTCTCCCCTCACACCCACAAACACGCACTTACCTTACTCAACACACTCTTTTAGCGCCACGCAAGTGCCCCGCGAACGAGTCGTACCTCCCGTGCGGCCCCAGCTGCCAGACGGAGTGCTCAACTCTGGGCCAGCCCTGCCTTATCCGGCACATACGCTGCCCCGATGGATGCTACTGCAACGAGGGCTATGCCCGCAACTCACGTGGCGCCTGCATACCCCAGGGACAGTGTCGCAAGTAAAGGTATTCCACAAAAAGGGAGGGCATCTAGGTACATATAAATAAAACCCCTCTGGGATGATGATTCATGACACTGATAAACAGCTGTTTTTTCTGATTGTTTTGGATCTTATTGTTCGCTTGATAATGGGACAGCGCGACTGCGGGATCTGGTTTTGGTTTCAGTTTCTGGTTTATAATTTACGTATTGTTCTTGTTTTTTGTTTGCTAATTAAGCGCAGTGCTGTTTAGTCTGTAAAACTGTTTCAACTGTGAAACTGTTCTGCTAAAAGGTGCTTCCTCAAACTGCGACTGCTCTCTGGAAAAGCAATGGCAAAGAGGCATAGCGGAAGAATTTGTTGCTGTGGTTTTTTTTTTGCTAACTAGGCGCAGGTGCTGTTTAAACAGTACACCTCAAACTGCGGTTGATCAAGGTGTTGTTCCATGGGAGAGCAGAGAGAGGGAGAGAAAGCTTTAAGCTCCTGTTGAGCCAACAACAAAATACAAGTGAAAAACAGCTGATCTTTAAAGACCTGTTCTAGCAAAACTGTGATATTAAAAACAAAACATTTGGATTTTTAGAGGCTGTTGTCTGTCTCCCGGTAATCGAACAGTGCGTTCCAAGCTGATAAATATCGCCTGGTTGAATGCTTTAATCTGTCGTCGGACCAATTTTTAAGTCCGCAAAAAATCAAAAATCACTGCCATAAGGTGATGGGAGGGGACTTTGGGCTCTTCTCTCAAAGCAAACTAAATCCGGCTGCTCTGCCTAAGCCGCGCCATCGAATGGAGCCTGAGCTCGAGCCGGGAACTGGGCTTCCCAGAGCCGCTTCGATGACAACACGCAAAATGTAAATGTTTGCTGTCATTGAGTCGAAAATGTTGGCAGGGGCCCAAACCAAACGGTTAATAAACTCTCTAGGTGCAGGAGGATGGAGGATGGCGGATACTGAATGGTGAATGGTGGGTGCACAGTGCAAAGGAGAGAGAGACGAAAGCGTGCTCGATTTACATGAGCAAACATGACGGCGGGAGACCAAACCCACCCACGCTCGAAGAGGCGAATGGAAAACCAGAAAAAAGGATACTGTTGATACCCTTACAGAGCTATATACCCTTTGGCAACTATAGAACTTAGTTATCAGTTTTAGCGACATGATAATAATCGTGATAATAATCGTTATTGCAGCAAAGACTTGACTCTCCATCCATGGTTTTCAAGATACTTACATACATATTACATATGATTTAATCGTCCGAATATCCCAAGTAGAACATCTGTTTACTATACAGCGCGATAGAAACGCCTCGTAAAAACCGTGTGATACCCGGTGATCTGTTAGGGTATGATGAAAAGAACTCTGGGCGCTTGGATTTGGATTTGCAATGCAAACATGTGTGCTGCTCTCCTACACCACGCTGTGCTCCACCCATTCCCCATAACCATCCCCCCACCCAAACCAATTCCCTTTGTTTGTCTATTTTGTTCGGCTGCCTCAAAGATGCAGCTTTTGAGAAATATTCCTCAAATTCATTGAATTTCCCCAGGAAAAAAATTGGTCGTGTGTGTGCCGTGCCGAACAGAGACGGAGGCGTGAGTCGAAGAGTCGAAGAGTGGGAGAATGGTAGTTGTAGTGGGTGGATGGCCCACTGTGCGAACCTGCGGAAATTCAAACGGAATCAAAGCGAAAAGTTCGACAAAAAATCATCGAGCACTAAAAAAATAAGAATCGACTGAAAACACGAGGGTGTGTATGGATATCTGAATAGAGGAGCAGCAGCATCCCCGTCCCCATGGACCCCATCATATATCAACAACGGCTGTCAGTCAGTCAATCCTGGAGTGTTTGGCAAAGGCACAGCAGGCCAGAATGACAGTAGGACAGAAGGACAGGAGGCGTACCCACAAAGCCAAAGAAAAGAAAAGAAAACCAAAGCAAAGAAGACTCTGGCAGTGAAGTGTGTGCCAAAAATAAAAAGAGTTTCTGTTTCTGTTTTGGATTCAGGATTCAGGACGATAGTGGGGGCCCGGGGCCCGGGACCCGGGACCCCAGCAAACACGAATAATTTGACTTTATCTAAGCGCCAGTCAACCGAAGCGCTTTAGAAAGGAGCTCTGCCCCACAAAGAAAAAGAAAGGAAGGAAGAAAAGAGAAGCTAAACAATAAACGAAGGAAAGTGAACGCAGAGGTAGAGGTGAACGAGGGAAAGGCCTCAACAAAAGGTGGTACAATAAGTGAGAGAAAGTGAGAGCGATTATTCCAGCAGCGATTTAAAGATTCGATTTAGATATGTCCATCAATTCTACTATGCTAACTGTACAAGAGTTTCCAGCCTTGGGTCCGAGAGACCTGCTTGAACCAATTTTTGCAGCCACAGCACATGCTCTGACTCTTAAACAGAGTGTCTTAGCAGCACTCGCTCTGTTGTTCTCTCTCACTGACTAGCTTAGCGAATGGTGAGTCTTCTGGAAAATGCCATAGAGCGCGCAGCACCTTTCTCTTCCTCGTTTTCTTAACTGTGTTTCAAAGATTCGTGGAATTTCGCGTTGGTATTATAGGGATTAGTGCCTTATTTTAATGATGTAAGTACAAAAAAGTGGAATTTGCTCTAAATTATTATAAGACAATTTAGAGAAAATTCCACTTTTTTGCACATGATCCCATCCACAGAAGTCTGGATACAACATGTAGTTGCTCTAGCTCTTACAGTCTCTGAGCACGGACGCACAGACAGACTTGGCTCAATCGATTCGGCTATTGATACTGATCATCTATATACTTTTTGGAGGTCGGAAACGCTTCCTTCTGGACGTTACACAAATCCCCTTTCACCCACAAACCTAATATACCCCTCTATACTCATTTCGAGTATCGGGTATAATGAGTACTATAAACCACCACGGTGAAAAGAGTACATATTGTAGCATGTCTGGGAATTAGGTAAGCCTATCATACGAATACTCGTACACATGAGACTGCAATTATTTTATGTGTGGTTTGATTATCGGCAAAAATAAAGAAGTTTGCCAGGGCCGAAAGGGGGAGAATTTGATGAAGGATCTGTAGGAAGTGGAGGAAGATGTGGTTCGGCTGTCTGGCTGGCAAATTAAAATTAATTTAATTGCACTGCGATGGCAAATCGAATTAAGCTGCATGCTCGTACAAAAAAGAGAAGGCGAGGTACTTTAAGCTTGTGTCGCAGAAAACAAGATACCCTATAGGAAGATTTTACAGACGAACTTCATCATTCTGTGTGTAAAATAAATTGAACGGAATGATTTTTAACATATCTGTGGTATACCCGATTCAGTAAAAAGGAAGCACCATATCTGCTTTAAAGAGAACATAGCACAGCTTCAGCTCTTACTCAGACTCAATATACCCCCGTACTACGTTGCTACCCAATGGAGCTACTGGCAACGTTTCGCTGCATGCCTGCAAACATGCAACCACAACAACATTGAGAATGTGGCAAGCAGCAAGTAGCATCGTTTGGTGTCGCCGCAAACGCATTCAATTGAATATATTAATGCAAATTAACCCATTAAAGCCTCCCGATGTCATAGATGGTTGCACATGGCACATGGCAGGGAGCAGGGAGCAGGGAGCAGGAAGGACATCAGAAGAGGGGCTGGAGGATAAGTTGAACGAAAGGGGAGTTGAATGGGAGATAGGAAGAGCCAGCACAGTGAACCACAGGACAGAGTACCATCGACTTTATCTCTTAAGGTTCGTTTCTCGATTAAGATTATTTCTTTAAGATGTTCTCTTTCAGAGGATATTAGGATATATTTTGAATGCAAATAATTGAGATCTCTGTACTGATCGGAGTACTATATCAACTGCAAGAGTATCATACAGTTTTTGTTGCCGTACCCTGCCTCCCGTTTCTTCGTTCTTATATGTGGATGCTGTTGGGCGTTGGGGGTTGGGGGTTGGGGGTTGGGGGCCTGCCTCCAGATCCTGCCCTGCCCAACGTGTTAACATGGGGCACAACAATATTGGCCAGATGTTTTTGACGCCAACAGCTCGTAAAACCAGCAACAAAACCCTCGACAGCACTGTCACTCTCCCACACTGTCTCTCACTCTCGCTCTATCTCTGTTTGCCATATTGCCTATTGCCCCAATATGTGTCCTCTGTTTCGACACGCTCTTAACGTGGCCAAGGGCCAAAGGGGTGGTGCAACGGGAATTGTCAACATTTTGTGTAACAGCATCAAAATCAATATGCACTCTGTTCCCCTCACCTCCATTGTCCTTCTCCAGCAGGATGAGGATCGAGGGCTCGAGGCCTCGGAGGGAGGGAGGGGCACAGAGAGTGACGCTGCCAGCTCTTTATAATGATTGCCATTGACTGACGGAATATCCTTGCCGTATGACAGATATCAAGTTGTATGGCAATTGACGCGATGACATGTTGACATTTTTGCTTCATACTCGCCGTACACATGAAGTGGGTTGAAAAGAGGGGGGAATGTGTACTTCACTTGTCCACCCCCTCTGCGCCCACTACTGTGCCCAGTGCACCTCTTTGTCGGTCGTGTATTACAAGTGTGCTGCAGGAAAATGCAATTGTTTCCGTCGTCCAGCTGCAAAACAACGGAAGAGCCAGACCGAGCAAAGACTCCACCGACTAGGGGAAACCCACAAAACTGAGTTCCTGTAAACAAAAATGATTGCCAGGGTATCAAAGCTCCCCCTTTTTCGAGTGACTGCAGGGCATCCCCCAGTCGGCTTTTAATCCTTGGCTTGCGCTCCCTTCAATGCGGCTCAATGGCAATTCCAGCTGCATTCCTTTCATCAACCTTTTGTTTTCGGGATTTTCCTGGGGTACCTCTCGTGTCACGCGCACTCATCAATCGTGAGGCAATTGTTGCCCCCCATTCTATGCCACATTACCCTTCCCATCTCTCAACCCATTGACATTATGTGTTTGTTTGGCTTTTTGTGTGTGCCTCTGGCCAAAAGTTTTCCATTGCGGTTTGTTTTAGTTATTGCATTTCTTTCCACATTGTTTTGCTGTGCCATTCCGGGGTGATATGGGGCTTGGGGTTATGGGGGTTACGTGGTTGGGGGCTTGGTCAGGGGTATCCTGGAG